GATCATAGAAAAAAAATCTATCCTTTCCACCACTGAGAATGAAGTTACCAGTGGACTTTTCACATGGCCTTTATTATGTGAATCAGTTTCCTTCTGTCTTTAGTGTGTTGAGTATTTTTCTTCCCAGGAATGTGTTACATTTTGTCAGTTTTCCGTGAATTTATTGACCGGGTGATGTGGAAAGGACAGTATCCCCAACAAATGTTGTTGTGTTCCCTGGACATGCATGTGAAGAGAATAAAACCAAACCCTATCACATAACATATAGAAATATTAACTCAAAATGGATTGAAGATCTGAGCATAGACCTATTTCTATAAAACCTCTAAAACAAAAGATAGGAAAAAAATGATGGTTTTGGATTTGACAATAATTTACGGAATGTGACATAAAACACAATAAACAAGAATAAATAGGGACAAATTAACTTACACTAAGGTTAACCTCATATGTGCATGAAAATAATATTATTAACCAGAGAAAAGGCAACCTGTGCAATGGGGAAAATGTTTTCAAGTTGTATATCTAATCATGTGATAACATCCAGAATGTGAAATTAACCTCTACAACTTTACATAAAAATCCAAATGAAACAACAAAAAATGAGCATAGACAAGAGATAGCTAAGGATGGTGTGGACATGATGTTGATGGAACCATGTGCACTATGAGTAGGAATGTGAATTGGTGCAGTTAAAGGAAAACAATATGGAAATTCCTTAAAAAAATAAAAACAGGAGTGCCTCATGATACAGAAATTCCACCTCTGGGTATGTATCAAAGGAATCAAAATCACTATATCAACGTGTTATCTGTAGTTTCATGTTTATTTTAGCATTATATACAACAGCCAAAACATGCATAAAGAAAGTATGTATGATAGACTATCATTCACTATACACAGAAGAAATTCCTACCATTAGTGACAACACAAATAGACCTTGTGGGAATAATGATACACAGAGAAGTGAGACACAGAAAGACAAATACTGTGTGAAACATATTGTATGTGGATTCTAAAAGAAATCACCACAAATGTCATATGTGTGGTTATCAGTTGTGAGGTTTGGACAGTGGGGACATTGGATGTTGATGATCTGAAGGTACAAACTTCCAGTCACAGGATATGTGAGTCCTGAGGATGGAATGGACAGCATGATGAGTAGATTTTACACTGCTGTACAATTTGTGTGAATTTTGCTAATTAGAATAGATTCTAAATGTTTTCAGCACAAAGAAACCTCTCTTTTCCTTCTTTTTTATTCTACTTTCTTCTCTTCCTTTCCTTTGCATTTTCCTGTGTCTATATAAAATAATAGATGTTAACTCAATTTCTGTGTTAATCATTTCACAAGTTATGTAAATCCAGTCACTATGCTGTACACCTCACACATATACAGTGAGGACTGATCATATTTCCATAAAACTGAAACAAAAGTGGAGGGAAAATGAAATAGACATATTTCAAAGCTGACATACAAATGGGCAACACACATTTGAAAGGAAGGTGAACATTAGTTAGAGAATTAGAGAAATGCAAGTACAAAGCACAATGTGATGTCACCTCACATGCACTGGGAAGCTTACAATGAAAAGAAACCAAACAACATAACATGTGCTGGCAAGAATATGAAAAATAGGAGCTGTTCCGCACCCACTAGGAAAAGCAGTATGGAGGCTTTTCAAACATTGAAAATAGAGGTGTCATATGGTGCAGCAATTGGACTCCAGGGTGTACATCTAGAGTAATGTCACAGAGATGGTTAGACAGCCATGATCATAGCAGCAAATTTGGAACAGACAATAGGTGGAAGCAACCTAAATGTCCCTTGATGAATGAAGGGGTGAAAAGAATGTGATTCATGCATACACTGGAGTATTACACAGCATTGAGAAAGAGAACCCCTGTTAGATGCTTCAGCATGGATGGACATTGAGGACTTCATGATGAGAGAAATGAGATAGTCACAAGAAGATACACCGTTATGACTGCACTTACACAAGTTGTCTGTCTAGAGTAGGAAGGTGTATTGAAATGGAAAGTAAGATGTTGAGTGCCAGAGGTGGGAGGAGTAAGTGGATTTATGTGTGTAAAGTTTAAGATTTGCAAGATGAAAGCTTTCTTTACCCTGCTCTAGGTCAATGACAATACACTTAACATTACTGAAGTGTATACTTCCCATAAGAAGATGGTACCTTTTGTATTTCCTACCACAATTAAGGATTTTAAAATATAGAAAACTGAATTTCACAGTTGTTATGTTGTTTCCATTACATCTAGTTTGTGAGACTTGGCCACTCTCTGTAACAGGTCAGTCCCATCTCAGACACCACCAGCACGCTGCATTTACACTGCGCTGTGGTGAGGTTTCTGTTTCTGTCCTCATTTGTTTTTGCTCCTTTCTAAGAAAAGCAGAGAATGCAGCAGAGAGGGAGAGCTTCATGGGGCCACCAGTCAGAACATGGGCTTCTTCCACATTTTACCTCCCTGTAAACTTTTCTTGGACATTCTCCCCGAATTTTCTCCCTATTCATGTAACTATGTGTTAAGTATGAACTTTACTAACATTATAATGATTATTAAGAAACACAAATTTATAGATAAAAATGCAGTTCAGCATGCTGAACTGTGGTCATGGAAATAAAGGAATCATAATTTTGTATCATGAGATGGGAGTTGGTGGTGATCTTTGCCCTGCTACTACCTGGTGATTAAAGGTGAGTTGGGAGAACTTTCTTGAATAGACTCCTGGAAGCACTGAGGCAGTAAGTGAAGATTTGCTCATAATTATACTTTTGCAGTTGTAGAGCTACTTATTCATTCTCAGGATAACATAAATTCCAAACACATAATTTCATGTATAATAATTGCTGTGATATTTACTCTAGGGGGTAAATATAAAATAAGCATTAGTTAAGGCCATCTATTCAGCAGATGTTGTTGCAACTGCAGCAGGAGAAACGTCTTCCCTGGGCATTTTATGGACTGGGAAGTGCCATGTGGAAAACTCCAGGATATGTTTTACATAAAACCATGTGCAATGACATGACTACTTCTGTGCCACTTCTTATGTGTGAATGCATGCATTTTTCAAAAACACACTTCTGACTGTGTGTGACAGTGTATAAGATTGTTACTGTGTGTGACTCTGTGTGGTAGTGTGCATGAGACTCTTTGTGACTCTGTGACAGTGTGTTACACTGTGTGGCTGTATGTGATACTGACCATGCATGACTGTGTGTGAACCTTTGTCTATGTTGTAGCTGTGTGATAAACTGTTTGTGTGACACTATGTGACTGTGTGTGCTTGTGATTGCATCACTGTGTATGAGACTATGCAACTGTGTATGACTGTGTGGAAATGTATGTTACTCTCTATGTGATCATGTCAATAACTGTATGGATGTGGCTCTGTGTGGCTATATGTGATAATGAGTGTGTGAGACTGTGTGTGGCTGACTTTGTGTGCATGGCTGCAGTGTGGCTGTATGATGACTGAGTGTGTGGCTATGTGTGTTCTGCTCAAGGACCAAGAGAACAGTGTGCACAGTCCATGGCTCCCATGCACCCCGTCCCCGCGGCCCCTCTCTGGGGTTCACCAGTCTTAAGCTTCCCTCTCGTAGCTCACCTGGGACAGGGCACCTGTAGACAAGGAGGACACTTCAAGTAAAGGGTGCCTCACCTTTCAACCTCTTTACAGGCATTACCTAAGACACTCAGGAGTCAGTTTCTACCAAGGAGAAGATCCCCAAGCACACTGTGTCCATGACACACTCTTCTCCTTGGCTCATGCCCAGCTTACAGAAAGGGAAACACAGGCTTCCCAGTGGGCTGCTCTCTATGAAAGCCAGTTCTCATTGATGTGTGGGAAGGCCCTTGTTCTCTGAGCTGTGGGAGACCCAAAACAAAGATTAAATCATACACAGGCACACACAGCACACAACAACACAATCACAGACACATGTGTAAAATAGTTAAGGTTTGTGTATACACATGCACACACTCCCACTCCCACACAATCTCCAGCACCCAAGAAGCAAGTCTTTTTCCAGGACCCTGAGGCGAAGCCAAGACCCTGAAACTCAGGGAACAAGCATGGCTGAACCCAGATGCTCAAGAACATCCAGATTCCTGTTGCTGGGACCATTGAACATTCTCTTATATGACATGGTTCTTCAGAGGCGGTTATGTTAGGGGTGGATGAGCTAAAGGTGTTGACATGGGGACAGTGTCCTGGATGGTTTGTCTGAGACATAAATGCAATAATATCTTCTTTCAAAAGGAAACCCAGAGTAAAAACACAGGGATTACTGAAACCAGATGTTAGGGTGGGTTTCCACAACCACCCAGTACAGGAAGAGCAAGAGGGTGACATGTGGCAGGAGAACAGAGAACTGAGGGGCAGAGGTCCTTGGGAATAATCACAACACATGTGTGGTGAGGGGTGCCTGTTGGAAGGAAGCAGACATGTGAGAACATTGTGTGTATGGAGGGGGACAGAGAGACTGAGCTCAGCACACAGGGTCCTGGATGGGGCTGGATCCCTCTTCATGGGAAACATTTAGAACCACGGGGAAGACAAGAGCACACAGGGTGGTTCATTCTCAAGGAAGGAAAAGGGCACACAGGAGCATGTTGAAAGAAAGGTCTCAGACACAGGGTGGAACCTCATCTGCAAACAGACAATAGCACTTCCCCCTTTGGTGTCTACAGTGAGAATGAGGGAAACCAGAGCCAAGAAAAAGGGACAAGTGTTCCTGGATACAGCTGAGAGCTTTGAGAAGAAATCACTGCTCCCAAGAGGAAGGCCCTTCTATCCCCACCCAGGCACACATTTTCCCCTGAGGCTGGTCTCTGTGCTCAAGTTTCCAGACTGCCCCCTGGTGTCCTGAGCATCCCCTGCAGTCCAGGCCTCTTGTCTCCCACAGAGAGGTTTGTGTCTGAGCTCACACTGACTTCCCCTCAGTGTGCCTCTCACACAGTAATACATGGCCATGTCCTCAGCTCTTAGGCTGAGGACAGCTCTTAGGCTTAAGATGAGCTCTTAGTCTCATCTCCATGTAGGCTGTGCTGGTGGACTTGTCTGCAGTCATGGAGACTCTACCTTGGAACTTCTGTGCATATCCAGTGCCACCGTTGTTAGGGTTAACATACCCCATCCACTGAAGCCCTTGTCCTGGTGCCTGCTGCACCCAGTCAATAGTGTAGCTGGTGAAGGTGTATCCAGAAGTCTTGCAGGAGACCTTCACTGAGGCCCCAGGCTTCCTCACCTCAGCACCAGACTGCTCCAGCTGCACTTGAGAGTGGACACCTTTGGAGAAGAGACAGGAGTGGGTAACATTCTCTTCAATATCCCTGATGCCCACCTCAACCACAGGTCTGGGAAGATACTTTCCAGTAGCTGCTGCCACCAGGAAGAGGGCTCTCCAGCTCCAGTCCATGGTGAGGGGCTGTGCTGTCAGGGCTTCTGTAGGGAAGGGTGTGGCTGTGGATGAGGCTCTCAGGGCCCAGACAGACCAGCATTTAACCTAGCCTGCCTCTTCTAATTTGCATATACATGTGGCAGAGTGTTTCATAGCTGAAGTCCTGACCCCACAGTAGAGAAGGCAGAGGACACAGGGACTATGCTCAGTGGGAGTCTGATGGACCAAGTTCTAATCCACATGTGAGGACATGTCTCCCCTAGCAGGTCCCTGAGCTCTGTGCAGACACAGTTCCTTCCAGTGAGGAACCAGCCCCCACAGGACATGCTCCTCATTCTGAATCCACCTTTGAGTGACACAGAAACCATCTGGACCAGTCTGACCTTGATACCTGAATGTCTTAATACTGGGCCAATGTGACTTCAAAATTTTCCACATAGTGAGTTAATAAAATACTTCCTTGTTTAGCTCCTTAGAATTCAGATGTAAAGAAGCCATGCAAATACCCTTATTGACTGTGGCCCTCATGTCTTATTGACTTTGGTAAATGCTCTGATGGATTTGGGTATTTACAATAACCTCATGCCCAACTCTTACTTTAAACATTTGTATGGGAAGAGGAAGACACCGGTCCTCAGAGAAAATCCCTCCCCAGCTCCCTCTGCACCTGATCCTGAAGCAGCCACCCAGAGCTCATGGGTCTCGAGTGCCCTCTGCTGTGCAGGCTGCGCACTGCAGGGGGCAGTGCTGTCTGGACTCCCAGGGCATGGACATCTCAGTGACTCTAATGCAGAATTAAAGGCTAAGCTCTGATTTCAGGGAGCTCCCTCTGGGACCCCATGTGCTTTGACATCTCGACGCAGAGGACTGGTCTTACTAAATCCCAGTGACTCTTCAGGGAACCTAAAGCAGGGTTCTATGAGCCACCAGGGAGCCCCTTCCCTGGAGTTGCCTGATGCTCTGACTCAGCAATACTCCTGAGTCCAGAAGCAATCAGTGGCTTTGAGGAACTCTGAAGCCCTCAGGTTCTTCTGTTTGCAGGTCTCATCTATGTATCCCTGTATGTGGTCCTAATTTCATTGCACTTCTACTGATCAACAAACCACACACACGCTGTGGTGAGTTTCATGGTAATGACCCAGGGTTCCCTTCTCTCTTGCTCTTAGCACATGGGCAGGATCTCCACTCTCACAAGAACCACATGAGTGATGTGATTTAATGACAAAATCAAATGAAACCCTATTAATGTGAAGACAGGAAAGTGCCCGAACTTATTGTTTTCTGTTCTTCCAGCTCCTGGGACTTGCAGAGACCATTGTGAGAAGCTCCTGGCTTATCGTGGGCAGAGTTACACACAGGTAACACTTTTCTATTTAGTGCAGCCAGCACTGACCTGACTTGTGCAGGGGGTCACTCTGATATATAGCTCACAGGTGCTCATTGTGAGAGCACACAGCCAGGAGCCCTGAGGGCAGTACCATGGGGGGCACTGGATTGGTATCTCCCAAGGAGCAGAAGCAGGTGGTGATGCAGGAATAGAGGAGCCAGAAAGTGGTCCTGGTGTATCAGAGTCTGTGGAGCAGTGTTAGTGAAGTTTTACACTCTGCCCCATGGTGTCCTGAGTGCCTCCTGCAACCCAGCCTTCCTGTCTCCATCAGGGAGGTTTGTGTTTGTGTTCACGCAGATTTCCCTCACAATGTCTCTTCCACAGTAGTACACAGTTGTGTTCTCAGTGGTCACAGAGCTCAGCTGCAGGGAGAACTGGTTTCTGGACATGTCTCTGGAGACAGAGGTATGGCTCTTTAGGGGTGGATGATAGTAAGTGTTCCTATTATAATGCATGTGCCCAATCCACTCCAGCCCCTTACCCTGGGGCCTGGTGTATCCAGTCCCAGTGTTAAACACTGCTGATGGAGTAACCAGCAGCAGAGCAGGTGAAGGAGAGCATCTTTGAGGGATTTTCCAGGTCTTGGCCCAGTTCTTGCAGCTGCACCTGGGAGATTACACTGGGGCCAAGGAGCACGAGTCCCTGTCAATCATGTTCAGTCACCATCATTCCTTAGACCTGTGTCTGATATCTGAGACACTCACCCTGGGGGTCGTCCCCAGCCACAGGAGGAGACCCAGCAGTCTCATCTTCTTCCAGACCATTGACCACACCTCTGCCTTCCCCAGGCATTTCTTCCCTGTGTGAGGAGAAAGCTGTGATACCCCATAGCCCAGGGCAGGATCTACCCTGGAGCTGAAATTGAAATCCACATGTAGGACAGCCTTTCTTGTATAAGTGGACAGAGACTGAGGTCAGGCATCTTGGTCATTCTGGAACCTGTGTGGGAACATAAGCACAAGCAGGATGGACACCCTGAATATGATTTCCCCCATATCTGCTCACATAACAATTATCTCTCACTCTCCATGAATTATTTAAAATAGCAACAAGGAAAACCCTGATGAGCCCAAACATCACAGTGAGAGGTCTGTGTTCCATCCTGAGCAGGGATTGGGAACACCTGGGAATCCCAGGCTGGGCTCCTGTCCTAGAGCTGCAAGGTCAGGTCTGGGCTGCTTTTCATGAGCACAGGGGCCCTGGTTGCATGTCCTCCTACTATATATGGAGCTCTGCATTTGGACACTGACATGATGGGCAGTCCCCCAGAGGTTGACATGTCTAAGGGTTCATGTCTGTTAAGAATTACTCTGCACATTGGAACCTCTGCCATCCCCACTGACCCAACTGTTCCAGGAGATGGGTACATGACCTAGGAGAGTACATTTTTATAAAAGATCAGTATTTAAAATGAGGTATGCCTTTGAAAACCACCGGTATTGAACAGACCAAGAGAATTCAATGCTCATAACCAGAGGGAACATTAGAACTGCAGGAAGTTCCTGTTCAGGTGACAGGAAGTCCCATTGGACTCTTTTCCTTTTGCAAAGCAATCAGAGTATGAAGTGAGAACAGAGTGAGACCCTAGAGCATGTGGACCCAGTGTTGGAGGAGGTCTGTGTGGAGCCCTGGGTGCAGAAGTGTGAAAACTACACAGAAGCACACAGTGCTTCTGGGACACGTTTCTTTAGTGGAGTTTGGTGCTCAATGTTCAGCATCTTCACTGCTCACCTTTGTTTTTATTTCCTAGACTCTGTGGTAAAACCAGGAGCTAACATTGGGGGCTCAGAAGAATCTCAGCCATGACTAGATCTTCTCAAGTGATGATGTAGGTGGAATTTGGGGAGTAGGTATTTTTAAATAAAAAACAAAAAAGTATGACAAAACTTCATACTGATCACTAATACAAAATAACAGAAAATAAATGAAATCATAATCGACATGAGAAACATCATTTTTTCTTCATCCATTGTTACCAAGTAAATACATCATTTACATTTTCTCTTCATCCTGGGATTGGTGGATCTAACTTTATATAAATCTGGCCAGGCACTCGGGTGCTGTCCTATTTCCACCATCAGCATCTGTGGCTTTCTGGACGTGTGGCGTAGTTCTAATCAGGAATGCAAGAGACCAGGTTCATCCCTGGTTCATCAGAAGTAAATTTCAGAAGCTTGGTCTCCTCCCTCTTTTTCATCTACTTTCATATCTGCACAAGACCCTGGGAATGCTGTCACCTTTTTCACATGGGACAGGTGTCATCTCTGCTGAAGTCACATGCTCTGTGGATCAGTGTGCAGAAGAGGAAAGGGATCCTCCCAGGTACATGGATAGTGGGATCATGCAAACCTGGAGCCAGTACTTCCAGGATCCTTGTTCCTTATGTTGTGAATAGTCCTCCTCACATAGCAAGTTCAAGTTGTCTTACGTAACTTTTTCTCAGAAATAGCCTCTCATAGTCATCTAGTCATTCATATATAAAAAAGAAGTGATTTGAAAATTAACCCATTACTTTCACTCAGACAAAAAAAAAAAAACATGAAATCCTTAGGCATAAGAATAGTAAATATTACTATTCCAGACTGGATGGGCCTAGAGAGTGTTATGTTGAATAAAACATATTCAGGTGAAATAACACCAATGCCATGTGATCAGACTTATACCTGGAATCTAATGAACAACAACAACAGCAAGCAGAATAGAAACATACTCATATACCCAGATATGGGAACCTTAATGCGAAAGTGGAAAAGAGATAAAAAGTACAAATTGGCAATTGCAGGTTAAACACAGGGAGGCAAATCACAGCACTTGTAATAAAATCAATAATATTGTAATGACCATGAGTGGTGCCAGGGGGGAATGGAAAGACTGGCCCATCACATCATAAGCTGTGTGACCACTCTGTGGTAGGGTAGAAGCTCATATAATATAAGGTGGAATGACACCTGGAATCAACAAAGAAAAAAAGAGATTTAACCCAAGTTCCAGGGCACAACAGGCAAGAGACACAACTGAATTCCAGAGCTCTACTCACAGGTTTCACATTTATTGTGAAAATTCTGAGCATCATTAGGTTTAGTGGAGAACCTCATGAAGATCCTTATGCTACTATTATTCTCTGGTGGTTCCTACCTCAGTAACACCCTGGGGGATGCTACCCAGGATGCAGTGTTATAATCTGACTTGCAGAAGGCTCTTTCCTGTTCCTCCCAGAGATTTCCACTCTGTGATGGTGAACGTTACACACCACCTTGTGGTGTGTGTTTGTCATCAGCCTGGACATCCACACAACGCTGTTGTGTGTCCCTCTGCATCCCCATGGTGTCACCTGCTCTAGGAGCTGTGAGCATGAAGCCAAGTCGGTGACTGTCACCACAGGGGGCCTTTCTCTTCCGGAGGTGGGTTCATTTGTTTCTGATGCCTGCTGTCCTGCATGCACGTGTCATCCTTCTGGATGGATGGACACTGAGCTGTGTCGGGATGGACTCACTGCTGAGTCCTGCAGAGCCTCTGGTTAGATTCAGCTGACATGGATCAGGTGGTTTGATGACATTTTGGAAGGGGCAGGAGAGTTTGAAAAGAACAGTCTTTTGTACACGTGAAACTCACTTTCTTCTTCTACAGTGGACTTATCTAACTCCATTAGACTTCAGTGGTGAGCACAAAGAATC